GGAGGGGGGGGTGGGGGGGGGGGGGGCGTCTTCCACCTGTTTCAGGGCTCGGCGGTGACATGTTATCTTGAAACACCCGCCAACGACCGACAAGATGCATTCCGTTTGGTTCAGCGCCCTAAACCGTCGCTCGCGCCCCGTCCGCGCACAGGTACACGGTGATGAACAAGTGCGACTGCGTGCTGGTTGTGAGGCAGTACGGCAGTAACGTCACCATGGAGCTCGGGCCCGGGGAATCGCGCCCCCTCCACTGGGCAGACGGAAGCCTGGAAGCCACTCTGTCGGTCAGCGTGATCTCCCGGGGGACGACCGCGGCGGCAGCTGGGAGTTCTCCGGAGATGTCGCCAACGACGGCGGCACTGATGGACTGGAGCGGACCCGTGGGCATCGGGAACATCGGCACTTTCCCCATCTGCATTCGCCCCAAACCGGGCGGTGCTGCCCTCCCGGGTGAGGCCTAAACGGGACAAAGCACACGAGAGAAAAAAAAAAACCAGAAATATGGAAACGCTGGGCCCCTGGTTGACGGAGAGCGAGAAAGTCACGGACGTCGGTGCTCAATGTATTGGGGGCAAAAGTTGTACATATGTAACTGCTGTGGTTTTGAATTTGCGGGGGAGATTATTTGTTTCACGTGATGAAGACGTTCGTTTCCTCCACTCGGAAATTTTTTTTCGCTTTCTTTTTGCAGATTTTTCCGCACTCTGGCGTGCACGCCCAGCCAATGCTCTCTGCGACGACACCGCCCCGTCGCGAAACACCGAGCTGGTACACTTTTTCTGTACTTTGGTATTGGTATTTTCACTGCATTGTGGAACGCACGTTTAGATGTGACACAAGTATCCTCTGGGTCTGTCTGCTGCCGCTTCGACCCAGCTCTTCATGATAAGCTTTTTTTTGGTGTGGTCGGGACCCTTTCTTGTTCGGTCTCGTCCTCTACGATCCACAACAACGGCTGCTCTCCCCACCGCATTTCCTTGCACGCAGTCGACTCCCACGTGGCGACGCCGCCCGAGTCTAGGGCCTCATCTCCGTCGAGTAGGGCCGGGAGCAGCGGTTGGTCTACCCCGGTCTCGTCGCCGCATCGAGGGGGGGTGGAACCGATGCCGATGGTCGGTGCCAACCGCGTCCTCGGGGTGGAGGTCAATATCGGCAGGTGCGGTGATTCGTGTGGCCTAACCCGAGTTTGCCGTGTTTTTACCGTTTGCGACGCAAGAATCCCCCCCCCCCCCCGGTGGCGAGGTCGATGGTCTAACGACTACGGCCTGCACGACTATGAGCACCCCGCCCCCCCCGGTCACCATAACATTTTGGCTTTAACAAAGTTTTATCTCGAACGCGGGTAGTGTTCTGTGATTGTGTGTATTTTTTCTAAAAAAAAAGTGCCTGGTTTGGGTGTGTTGCCCTAGTACATGAATTGGGCGTAGTGCTTCTGTTTTGGGCTCATTATGAACTCGATACAATATTACCATCGGGCGTGGTAATTGTGTGTGGGGGTGTTATATTTTGTCGCGCATGGTACGTGTT